AAAATTTTAAGATACTTAGAATTCTAGAAGTTAACGAAACTTTAGTACATATATTCAAATTCAAAATAGAATTTTAAAGTTTGATATCATTGTTGTTTCGTGATGTTTCTTCAAAAAAAAAGAAATAAATCAATTATTCAAAGTAGGTTAATATCCGAAAAATAACTTGTCGTAGAGCATTTTAACCGATTGCATCGCGCAAGATTTACATTTAAAAAGCCATATGTCGACAGTTTTGTGCTTAAGTTCTTTTTCCAGAAATTTCAGTATCAAAACTTAGCTTTTTTTAAACACGACCAAAAAAGTTTTAACCTGCAAACTCTTCAGAGGAAGACTTTAAACTTGCTGAAAGACCTGACATTTTGGAGATAATTGAATCGGAAGTGTCTAAATTGTCCCAGATTGGCCACGCTTTCCTTTCCTCGTGTCATTACGTCAACAGACTTCCATTGACCGACTTCAAAACGCACTTTTTTGCCCTCAAACCAACTCAAGTGCGACTTTTTTCCCACTTGAACAATTCTCAAATCCAGTGGCGGCTCGCAGTCTTTTAGTAAGAGGAGGCAGGTCTTTTTTTATATAGAAATATACGTGTATCGTATCTACACATGCCATATACTTGACGACAAAAATGATTCTTTGCTTTCTGACCCCGATAAGCTAACTTTTAACAGCAAACAAAAATACAAAAATCGACTAACCTTAAATTTTTCAATTTTTTTGAACGATTCATTAAATTTATTAAATTTAATTTGCGGGGCCAAATTTGTGAATTTGTGGCTACCTTTTATTTACACTGGAGATGTAATTTGCTACTCATACTCATACTTGACTTTAAGTGTGTTTTTCTATTGCCCTTGGTATTTTTTTAAAGTTGTCATACCACAGTTTTAGACCATGCTTTCTCACCACGACATGAAAATGGCTAAAAATTTTTTTTTGTGTTTTGCTTCCAGTTAACCACTCATATTTAATTTACAAAACTTTATTAACAATTAATTTTCCTATGACTCTAAGAGAAAGTAAGTTTTTCCACCCTAATTTCAGAAAGGAAAGTGACCAATTACCTCCCTCATCTGTCAAAATTACATTAAAAATGTATAAAACCTCTCAGAGAGGAAGAAATTTTACCTTCCACATAGAAACTGAAAAATATGCTGCTACATTTAGTTCTGATAGTTCCGTTAGTGAGGATAGATATCGCAATTGTTCCTTTCCCGTTTAAGTTTTAAAAATAAATAAAAAAAATTGCTGTATTTACATGACGATGAGCAAACCGCAAATAAAAAAATATAGACAGATAGAGCATTAAATTCCCAATAATAAGAGATAAAGGTAATGCAAAAATTTTATTGAAAACTATACAGAGTGTTTCACATAACTTTACGAGGCTTCCGCCTAATGTACGCACCTAGATATACAAAAGTCACAGAACACTGTATACAAAAAATACACATTTAATTATTTAATTTTTGGAAACCCATGACAGTAGTTGTCAAACTAATCACTGTTTCATTAATAGTCATAAACTGCAGTTTTTCAGAAACAAGTATCATTTGTTCTATCAAGAGACGGCATGATACGATTCTAGTTTATCTATCTTAATCACTAACTAATTAAAAACGATGTAATTTTTGAAAGGGTGAACAAACTAGAGAAGATTATCCAATTTTTCAAAATTTGTAATCGAGTTCGGATCGGAATATGTGTTATTGATTGCATCTTACAGGCGTAGGCCACGTAAAATTATGTGAAACATCCTGTATTTAAAAAAATTTCAAACATTTAGCAATTTGCGCCTTGTCTCATATTTTTGAAAATGCTGCGAATACGGTCAAAGGTACAAAAAATTAAAAAAAGAAAGTTGTAAAGTATAAAATTTTCAAGAAAAAAGTCCCCGAGAGATACCTCTATCTTCAATGGTTTAGGTTCTAAAGACGTTCAAAGACGCTCAAGTGACGAATACGTGACATTTTTACCCGTGGTCAAGAGACAAAAAAATAATTTAAACCTAAACGGTTGAAGATAGAGACATGGTCTCGCGGCCTTTTTATAGGAAATTTAATTCTCTACAACTTCGTTCCCTACACTTTTTTGTATCTTCAAACGTATTCGCAGCGTTCTCAAAAATATCGAAAACAGTATTAAAAATAAATTATAAAGAATTATCAGTTTGCGTTCCACCCAATATTTTCTAGAACGCTGCGAATACGGTTAAAGATACAACAAAAGTGTAAGAAACAAAATTGTAGAGAATAAAATTTGCTACAAAAAAGTCTGCAAGTCAATATTTCTATCTTCAACGGTTTAGATTTAAATTGTTTTAGTGTTCCTCTGGCACAGAATTACCAGTAAAAATGAAACGAATTCGTCGCTTAAGCGGTTTTGAACGTCTTTGAGGCCTAAACCATTAAAGATAGAGGTATGGTCTTGCGGACTTTTTACTAGAAAATTTCATTCACTACAACTTTCTTACATTTTTTTATATCTTTAACCGTATGCGCAGCATTTTGAAAAACATGAAACGGAGTACAGATTTTAAATTTTAAATATTTTTTTCTCATATTTCTCAAGAAAAATTTAGTCTTTACGAAAAAGTTATTCGAGGTCAAAGTCAAAATTTGACGTTTTTTAGATTTTTTCGAAAACGGTAAGTTTTATCAAAAAGTAGCCCAGACAAAAATTATAGATCTTTAAATTATCTACAAAAATGGTCTTTATACTTTTTTTCTAAGAATCACCATTCCTGAGATATCGCGATTCTAAAAGTTAAAGGAGTCACGTTCTACATGATATGCACATACAGAGTGCCCCAGAACTCCCACTCCAAAGACAAATGTCATGTAGGGTAAGATACCACGAACATGGAAAAGATTAAAAAAAAATCTATCTATAATAATTTCAAAGTTATGAAAGTTTAAATTTTGCACTTTGAGTCTCTTTATTTCTGTAGGAAAAATAATTTTCCAAGTTTTTTTGCTACAGGCTATTAGAAGTGGAAACCAGGAAGCTGTATCCTAAACCTAAATCCTGTTTAATGTTATTTGTGACTTTTATTGGCAAAAGTTTTGTACCTTTTTCTAAATAATTGTAAAAAAACATATACAAAATCATCAGTATTATTAAATTTTTTTTTTGACAGATTTTTAAACATTTTTTTTATGTTCCTGGTATCTTATCTTACTTGAAATTTTTCTTCTACTTCATTAAACTTATAAATAACTCGATTCCATTAAAATTAAAAAGAATTTATTTGGTAATACATACAGGGTGTTTAAAAAAAATCGCGTACTTTCTTGAAATACAGTAACTGGGTAGTCCCCAGAGTACTGAAAAAATGTTTAAAAAATTCTATCTGTCAAAAATTTTTGACCTTAATTTTTTGACATTTTTTTATGTCTATTTAATAATACTGATGACCTTGTATATGTTTTTTTTATAACTATTTAGTAAAGGTACAAATATTTTGTCAATAAAAGCCACGAATAACATTAAACAGAGTTACAGTTTAGGATACAGCTTCCTTGTTTCCGCTTCTAATAGCCTCTATCATAAAAACTTGGAAAATTATTTTTCCAACAGAAATAAATAGAGTCAAAGTGCAAAATTTAAACTCTCATAACTTTGAAATTTTTATAGATAGAATGTTTTTTTTAATTTTTTCTATGTTCCTGGTACCTTACCCTACATGGCATTTGTTTTTGGGGCGCGAGTTCTTACGCACTCTGTATGTGCATATGTCTTAGAAAAAAAGTATAAAGACAATTTTTGTAGATAATTTTAAGATATACAGGGTGTCAATTTTAAAACTTGCAATCGTCAATATCTCTAGAACTAAAAAAGTTATTGAGAATCACTGAAAACCGTTTCGGTAGTTTTTAGGGGGAATCAAAATGGCATGGTAAGTGACGCTGCTCCACCCACCCTTCAAGCCACAGCCACCTTAAGTTGAAAATTTTAAATGGCACGACCCTACTTGCGATACATCGTTGGAAAGCCCATAACAAGCGCTTTTCAAAAATGTCATACAACAGCCTATTTGGTAAAGTTATTTTTCCAATTATTCAAAAACGAAGAAGAATACGAAGAATTTTCATTTTTTTACTATATTCAAGGGTGGGTGGAGGTGTGTCACTTATCATGTCATTTTAATTCCCCCTAGGAACCACCAAAACGGTTTTGAGTGATTATTAATAACTTTTTCAGTTGAGAGAAATTGCCGATTGCAAGTTTTAAAATTGACACAGTGTATAATTTTTGTCTGGGCTACTTTTTTGATAAAACTTACCGTTTTCGAAAATAAATCCAAAAAACATCAAATTTTGACCTTTGACCCCGAATAACTTTTTTAGCACACATGGGATCGATGGGAACTTTTGACACTTTATTTCTAATGGTCTCCACCAAAATTTACTTCTGTCGTTATTTGACCAATATTTTTATGACTAATTTGACCGGTTGAATTTAAATGAAATTAAAACGATTTGAAACTGAGACGGTTAAACGCTCTAAGCGCCCTCATTTTTACTCCGCCGTACCACTTTTTTTGGGTCCAAAAAATTGAGCAATTTTGTACCTCGTTTCGTCTCCTAATATGTAGTTCTCCCTGATGTAACAAATCGTCCAGCCTTGACTGTCTCATTCCCATTTTCAGTGTCACAACCTGTACGCCCTGCGGTACTTCGCCTGCGAGTGCCTTTGCCTCATCAACGTCGTCGTCCAACTGTACCTCATGAACAAGTTCTTCGACGGAGAATTCCTCTCCTACGGCTGGCGCGTCATGAATTTCTCCGAACAAGCGCAAGAGGACCGCATGGACCCCATGGTCTACGTCTTTCCCCGAGTCACCAAATGCATCTTCCACAAATACGGAGCCTCCGGTTCAATCCAAAAACACGACAGTTTGTGCATCCTCCCCCTCAACATTGTCAACGAAAAAACCTACATTTTTATCTGGTTTTGGTTCATGATTCTGGCTAGCATGCTAACGGTGCTGGTTTTGTACAGAATTGCTATCGTGGCCTCGCCTAGGATCAGGCCCAGGTTGCTCAACGCCAGGCATAGGGCGATACCTATCGAGGTGTGTAGGTCGCTGTGTCGGAAAATCGAGCTCGGCGATTGGTGGGTTTTGATGCTCCTGGGCCGGAATATGGATCCCATGATTTACAGAGAGATTATATGCGAATTGACCAAGAGAATAGAGACGAGACACCAGAATTGAAGAAATTCGATTTTAGAACAATACTCAGAGACTTTTATTTATTTTTGTCAGTTTTGGGCCGGTCGAAACTAAATTTTTACACTTGCAGGCCTTAAAATCGGTCAAGATAATTCTGTGATTTCACCGACTGGCAATTTCAAATCGACGACATATCAGTTTTTGTAAATTTATACAATTTTATAAGAGCACAGTTTAGGTTAAGGTTATTTTAGACGATTTTACTTTTATCTTTATTATTGTATAAATAAACGAAAGGAAGACAACGATTTGTTTCATTTTAGTGAAAAAACCGTAATTTCTATGTTGTAATTGTTTCGTATGCATGTTTAGTGAAGTCAGTGACCCAAAATAGGTCACTGATAGTGTAATTGCGACGTAAGCAACCATTATTGTGTTGCTGAGGAGTTGAATGAGCTTTTTACGTCGAAGTAATGAAGGCGTGTTGTACAGTTATTTGCTTGTAGAAAGAATGGAGGCTTTGTTAAATCAGTTAACTTATGTGAAAAATGTGGTTTTATGAACACAACAACGGCTTTGTAATGAAGAGAAAGTTACAAGTTTTTGCTTTAAACGAGTCAGTTTTTATAAGAGACAAGTGCTTGCATAAATTAATCTAATTTCAATTTCACTTTATTTTAGCGCCCGTTAGGAGAAAAGTTTGCAACTTATAATACAAACAAGCGTTGACGGTTGCATACCTAAGAAGGCTTTACAGCTGAAAATTCACTAAAAATCTATTATGGTTAATGATATACATACTTCATTTTCGTGATTATGTTTAGTAATAGTTCGTGTTTTAAGAGTTTTTACTATTTAAATAAAAACATGCAAAAATCTTTTAATTTTGTTTTCTCGTGTATGTAGGTACTTTACGAAATTCGATTTTCTGGAATAATTTATTTTTACGCAGGTCTGTTCAAACTAGCACAAAATACATACATGTAGGTATTCTAGGTAGTAAAAGAGTCAATTTCTGAAGAAAAACTCTAAAAATGTGTACTCACTGGAAAACATTAACTTTTGGGCTTTACAGTTTACTTTTGGTAAGTTATTTTTATATAAAAAGTTGTTAAAAAAGTAAGGGTTAAGGCTTATTTGAAAAGGGATAAAAAAATTGCCATAAAAAATATGATTTTGAATGCAAAAATAGTCTTTCAAAATTTTCAATTCTTAGTAAAATAGAATACTTTTGGAATTTATATAAATTTTGTAATGTACGGGTGCGCCAAAACTCGGGCCTCAGAGAAAAATGCCATGTAAGGCAAAATACCAGGAACATGGAAAAAATATTAAAAAAATTCTATCTATAAAAATTTCGAAGTTTGAGAGTTTAAATTTTGCATTTTGACTTTATATATTTCTGATGGAAAAATAATTTTCTAAGTTTTTTTTTCTGCAAGCTATTAGAAGAGGAAACAAGGAAGCTGTAGCCTAAATTGTATCTCTGTTTAATGTTATTTGTGGCTTTTATTGGCAAAATTTTTGTACATTTATTAAATAATTTAAAAAAACAACATATACAAGATCATCAGTTTCATTAAATAGACATAAAAAATGTCAAATGTCAAAAAATAAATGTCAAAATTTTTTGACAGATAGAATTTTTTAAACTTTTTTTTCATGTTCCTGGTATCTGTGGTATAACAGAGTTACAATACAGCTTCCTTGTTTTCTCTTTTAATAGCTTATAGCAAAAAAACTTGGAAAATTATTTTTTCAACAAAAATTAATAGAGTCAAAGTGCAAACTTTAAACCCTCATAATTTCGAAATTTTTCTAGATAATTTTTTTTAACAATCTTTCTGGTATCTTATCTTACTTGAAATTTTTCTCTGGGGCGCGAGTTCTGGCGCACCCTGTATAATTGCAAATTGCAAAAATTTCACAGAGATAAAAACTTAAATAGTCCGGATCTTGGAAGTTGTTATTATAAAAATCTTTTAGCAAACACAGTCTATCAAACTCTTAATAATAATGATTTATTAACACCAAACAGCTTCAACAACAATAATACAATACAATACAACAATACGACAAAAGAGAAAAAGCAAAGAACAAAAATTCATGACAGCTACATTTTTAATAAGCCTCTAGCTTTCTCTTTGATTGAGTTAAATGATGTTAGGATGATGATGATATGATGATTTAAGGTATAGAAAACTAAAAATCTAGTTGATTTAAATCATAAAATCTAAAATACGTAATTTCAAATTTCAATTTTTTTTGTAAATTGAACTTTAGCATTTTAAAGCACACACGTAAAAGGAAACTTTCCTGACAATCCTAAGTTATAGATTTTTCTAAAACTTCGGAATCATAAAATTTATATTTTTTGAACAAATTTCATAATATTAAAACAGCAACCCTTTTAAATTTGAAACTTAAAAACTTAAAACGTAGAAGTTAATATCTGCAAATTCTTGAACAACTTATTGGTCTATAAACTCTGTAATAATTTGAGAATTTATAAAAAGAGATTATAGTATCAAAATCGTTCAAATTTAAAATTTAAAGTAAAAAAAAACGTAATCAGAGAAATAACGTTTCAAAATATTAGATCTTTAAACAAACCGTAGAACAAACTTTATGGAATTTATGAATTTTTGAAGACCAATTATTGCAATATAAAAAATTTGTAACATTCACTTTCTAATTACTTAAAATCTTAGTAGTTTGCAATTTTATAACATAAAAATCTTAAAATTCGAGTATTTAAACCTAACAAAATTTTAATAAATTCAAATATGTAATAGAAATGTAGTAGAGTTGAAATTTGGAATTTTGATACTTAGAATCATAAAAATGTATAAATTTAGAAATCGAGAAGTAATGTTAATATCTTAAAAACACAGAAACCCCAAGTTTTTAGAATCATAGTCTATAAATACAAACTTTTTGAAAACATTAAAACCTTAAACTGTAGACAATTTTGATTTTTAGTTGTGTAGTAGTTCTAGAATTTCAGATAATTAGAAATCACAATTTCATAAAATTTGTAACATTGACTTTAAAATCTTGAAACTAGTGTAAGACTTCATAATCTTAAAATCTTGAAGTTTTAAATTAGAATTTTAAAAACATAGAAACTTAAAGTTTTTAATTTGCATTTTAAAACCTGAGACAAATTTCAAAATAACGAAATGTGAAAATCTTAGAAACGAGGATAATTTTAGACCCTTCGAATGATGAAATGTCATAATTTTAGCTATAGAAATTGAGGATATTTTCAATTTTTTCCACATTTAAGGTCATTATTGACAGGGTGTATATTGTATATTTCATAACCTTGCCCCACTTTGTGCCAAGTTTTGGTAATTTCTCGTAAAAAATTATGTAAAGAAAGAATAAATAATTTGAAAAAATAATAAATAAAATGTCTAGCACAAAAACACCATTATTATGCAAATATTTTATTTTTAAAAGTGAAAAATTTCATACGAAAGATGAAACAAAAGCTACTCAAATAAATGAAGTACAAGGCGTTTCGTGCTGTCATACATAAATAACCCTCTATAAGAAAAATAAATTTCTTACAATTCCAGAAATGGGTCAAAACTGTTTGCATAAAACTCCAATCACTTGTGCTAAAGGGTCAACTTTTCATTTCTTTAGCCCATAAACGAGCTTTTCGACCAAATTTTCGCTTCTCTTATCTCATGATTTATTCCCGCATATTGTTCCAATTAATTTTTCATTTGGTAAAATTTCGCCACGACCAATGTTTAGATTCGCGACGAAAGCTTTAAACACTTCGAGCCTCCAATGTTTACCTCTGCCATCCATAAAATTAGCCAAAACTCGTTAAACGCTGTTTGCTCGAATGACAGTTTAACGACAAATCCCGTTCTTTCGCCAGCAATTCGCAGCCTCCCTTTTGTGTATATTTTCGTCTTGAAATTTATGGAAATAGCACGCGTTCCGCATCCCATTGATGCGGGGACCGCTTAGTCTATCTATTTTATGTTGTAAAAATAAAAATAAGCTCATTTTACATCATAGTTAGGTGGTTGTTGGACTGAGATTCAGTTGGTGGAAGAGTGTCGGAGTGTCACGCACGCCCACCGAATGCGTGACATGTCACGCACGTTGTGCCCGATGACATGACAAGTTTTTCAAACATTTTTTTCTAAAGGATCAAACTGCAGCCGGTGAGTCGGAAAGCGTGAGGTTTCTTGAGTGTTTATAAACAAATCGAACGGTGATGGGAGAGTGAATTTGCGAAGCTGTGATTAATTCCGGAAAAAACACACAAAGTGACCCAAAATACACCAAATTCGAGGTACAAAATTACAAAAACATTAACTTCTACTTTACACCTTTTTATTTATCTTCTGAATTGTTAAAAAAATAATTTTTATTGCGAGTGTCTTTTTTAAGTTTTTTTTTATTGTTATTATTATTTCATTTAAAAACATAAACATTAGCTTCTACTTGACACCTTTTTATTTATCTTTAGAATTCGACTCTCCCAACGAAAACTATAGTAACACAAAATTTACAGTTTTGAAAAAAATTGCATTGAATCTTTGATTGTTAATAAAAAATCAAGGAACTTTTTAATTTTATTGAAAATTGTTCAGGGTCTATATTTTGGTAATGATATTGTTTATTCAAAGAAATTTTTTTTATTGTTTTTGTATTTTGGGCCCTACATAAGCCATCGTAACTCAAAACCAGTCTTTATGAGTTACTATAGTTTTAAATTATTGCGTCTTTTTTCAGTTTTTTTAATTGTTATTATTATTTCATTTAAAAATAATTTTAATTTACCTGGTTAACAAAGCTTCATTTTTCAAAAATTGAATAACGAATTTTTTTCAAAAAGAAGTAGTTCTTATACCTATGTAAATTTTCAATTTTTAATTTTATTCTACTAAAAACGGGAAAAACGGGTACGTAAAAAATCAAGTTTTTAAAATTTACACTTATACTTTGTATGTTGCTTACAAATTTTTGTAAATAGGTAAATTCCAAGATGTTTATTTTCAAATAACTACCAAATTTAAATTTTGATTAATTTGTTTTTTTTTTAATTGACTAATTTTACTTGAAAAATTTTAATCTTTCGTCAAACTCACTTGTGAATTTACAGCTTTTTTTTCTCTTTGTTATGTTTGTAGTTTTTGTTATTGTAATTTTGTACTTTTGGGGGATTACAATTCTCTTTTTTTTCTGGGCTTACTAAGATTTTAAAATTTGTAACAAAACATTTTTTTTTCTTTTTTTTTCACTTTTTTACTACTACTAAGTGTAGTGGAAAACT